CAATTTCATATTTAATTTCCCCCAATGAGATGATGACACATGTAATTATTTTAAGAAAAAAATTATTTTTGTTGATGTGGCATATGCCACATCATCACCTTTGTATATGTGGCAATGCCATATCAGCATGTAATGTTATGTCAACTTGCCATATTAGCACTAGACTTTCACCGTCAGTTGACTAACAGTTTCCATCTGATGAGGGTTGTTTTTTACCCAAAATGAAACGTTGTGGGGTCAAATGTTCCAAAAAAAATACGGGTAAATGTGACACTATTGTCAAACATTAAGGTTATTTTTTTGTGTTATGCCATTTCTAAATTAACCGAACAACAAACATGGACCTAATTGACCATGTTTTTCTAAGGGCTAAAGCGTAAACAATTCAAAAGTTTATAAGAACAGGAAATATGCTATTGACTCCTATGTTGTGAAATTCATTATTTTAAAGTGTGACAGAACAAATCTCATAACATTCCAAGTTAAGGCATAATATTAATTAGGAATTCAATTTTTGGACCATTTTAGACTTATATAATCATCCTAGGGTCAAACTAAGCCTTAGGGACACTTAGGACCTTTAATGAATGCAATTTTACCACTTTTCATTGAGCACATAATAAAGGGGTCGATCATTTTTCATGGGGGATTGATCCTTTGCAAAACAATATGTTTGGGATCGATCCTTTGAGGCAAGAGATTTATCACTTTTCAGGAAGGGGTTGATCCTTTTTGAGAAGGGATCGATCCTTTTTCTGAAAAAGTGTAAAATTCTCAAGAACATGCATAAATAAGCCACCAAACTTTCATCTATTCAATCCTAAGGACTAGATACATGCTTGGACACCTTCATACCACATTATACATGTCAAAATAAACTTGTAGCATGCTTTATAACACAAGTCAAAACATCATACAATGATCTAGCATCAAAAGTCAAGCATTGCATAAAAGTTAACTCTTGCCATAAGTCACCAAGTCCAATTATGCATTTTGGATCATTTCATGCATACTATGAGTCTAGAATATTTATTACACTTAGTGTCACTTGTCTAAGAACCCCCAAACACTTCATTAATGCATAATTCAACATTTGACAAACTTGGCATTCAAACGACACATTCATATGAATTCAACATCTTCTACAACAACACAAATCTAACATAATTCTTCATTTTAAATATAAAGTCCAATTAACATGCCACGTTTATTAAAAGGTCAACCATTCAAAGTTTATCCAAGTTCTTAACGGTTCCCACATTGTCGTCTTATGAAAAAAAACCACATACACTTTATTTAATATTGCCTTGCTCGATCACACCAGATGCTAGCCCCTTTCCTTCGACTTAGCTACTAATCCTCTAGAAAAGAATTACACAACGAGTGTGAGCTGAAAGCCCAGAGAGTAACTAACATTCTATGTATGCTAACTTCAAAGGTAAATCAAAGCTCCTATATGCATTCGCTCCTATATGCATTCGCTCCTCACTTGTTTTACCTCAATAATAATGTCATAATGTCATGCTTTCATATTCACCTAATGCACCATAAATGTACACAAAATCCAGAATACAAACATGTTTCTCATCATCATATATCTTGCAGCAAATCACATGCACACTTGCACAATTATCTTTTTCTCAAAGTCACACACATTACACGTATAGTTTCCATTTAAGATTAATGGTTTTTTTTTACGAAACACAACTCACTCAATAGATAAATGGACTCCATACAACACCGTATAGCATTTTGTTCAAACACATAGAAAACCATATAGTACTTTTTCCTAGGCATGTCTTTCATATCCAAAGGTACTATTAAGAACAAATAGCCATTTGATCCAAATACACAAGAATGGTTATCAAATAATGCATAGATTATACACATATACACTTTCAAAATACACTTTGAAACACTGATTAGAAATGGTTGTCAAGATCAACCTAATATGGACAGCAAGTTGCTCACTCATCCATGGTTAGTAAAGTTGCTAGGAAATTGGGAAAAAGGAGATGAAAATTACGGTTAGAGTTGGAGGAAAAATCCAACCACACAAGCCTTGGTAAAACTAGCTTTATAGATTTTGATTTGTGATCCTTTTACATTTTAGTCACTAAAATCAATATTTTCAATTTATTCAATTTAGTCAATAAATAAACATTTATTTTATTAGTATTAAAAATCATATTTAATATTTCAAAATTAATTTAAACACTTCATATCAATATTTATAATTTTAAAAACAAAAAATATTATTTTTATAAAAAATCCCTAAAATTACCTGATTACCGACCCGAAGTACCGATCCCGACTTTGGAATGCTATGATTCTTCTCCGTCTTGGCTTTGCTCCTTCATGGGTTGATCTTATTATGTCATGTGTTACATTATTTTCGTACATGATTTAGATTAATGGTAGTCTTACTGATAGTTTTCACCCCAACTGGGTCTGCGTCAAGGTGATACACTTTCTCCGTTTCTCTTTATGTTATGTGCCCAAGGGTTGTCTTACTTTCTACACTCTAAACAGCAGGTGGGCAGTCTTCAGGGTCTTCGCGTGTGTAGCAGTGGTTCTCACGTAACACATTTATTCTATGCATATGACTGTTTATTATTCCTTCGTTGTATAACCAATGAATTTGTTCAAATGCGTGAAGTGCTAGATATTTATCATTTATGAAAGTGCCTCTAGTCAGAATGTGAACAATGCAAAATCAAGCATATATTTTGGTCCTTCCACCACTGATTCCATATGCACAACGCTGAGTTCCATTCTTAGGGTCAACAATATAATCGAACCACGATCATATTTCTGTATGCCGCTTGTGACTGGTCAGAATTGCTCCACTGCCTTTGTGTTCCTACGCGACAAACTGTCATCAAGAGCCCGTGGATGGACCAAACACACGTTGCCATATGGGGGACCAGCAGTTTCCATCAAATCAATAGGGGAGGCACTTCCGACGTATGTTATAGGATGTTTTCTTCTGCCTGAGAGCATTGTTCATGACATTACGCCAGTACTTTGTTTTTACTGGTGGACATGTGATCCTTCGGACCGGGGCTGGCCCTTTTTTCTTGGGAAACTATCTATAAACCGAAAGCTTAGGTTCCATGATCTTCACCAATTAAACCTTCAATGCTCGGTGAACAGATTTGACGCTGTATCCGACGTCCTAGCAGTTTGGTTTCACGCATCTTCATATTAGCATTGACTGTCCTATTGATTTTAGTCAATGCACAAGAATCAGATGAGAATTAATTTTGAAGTAATTCTAGCAAAATAGTATATATATATACAAACTTTTGTTCTGTGATGAATAGATATGACAGAAATTTAAAACTTCTTATTTAGCCCCTAGTTAGTTTCTATATTACAAGTGGTTAAACACAAATATCCTTTTTTTTTCAATCAAATATCCTTTAGTTTTACAATATATCAATACATGACACAATAAAGAAATACGACGAGAGACAAGAAGAGTTTCCTTTTAAGTAATATTTTCTCTAACAAATGCAAATATATAAATATATAAAAGAAATTTTATATAAATGTAATTTTATTTTAACTAAACGATGAAATTTATTTTGAATAAGAAATTATGTTAATATATCAAAGAGATTTTACTTTAATCCAATGAAATTTATTTTGAGTAAGAAATTAATTTAAATAAAGTTATGCGAGTTAATTTACGGAGTAAGGATCTAAAATTTGAAATATTTTTAAAAGCGGTATTTTAATTTTATACTTTATGCTTTTAACCCTAATTTTTTAATTTTTATAATTTAACTATCAAAATTTGAACACCCTTTTAATTAAATCACCATAATTCAAATTATGTCGATCAAAATTGTTTAAACCAAAATTTATTCAAATATAATTATTATATTATTTTTTAAAAAAGAAATAAAAATAATTGATTTATAATTAAATATTAAACATACAATTAAACATTTTAATTGAGAAAAAAAAGTTTATAATTGATTTTATTTCTTTATTAAATAGTTTTCATCAAAAACCTTTATGCTGGACAATATGAATTCAGGTCAGAAACTCTAAAACGTGTCATAGGTTTAGATTTGGATTAAATTCTTATCTTCAAATGATAGTTTAATTTAAAATATTAAACAATTAAGAGATAAAGTTGAACCTAAATGATAAGATTGGCAATCCAAAATATTTTTTTTACAATAACATATTAATAATTCTATGTATACTCAATTAGACTCATATCCAACTCAATGTAAATTAACTAAAAGATCTAAAGGTTGACCTGAACAAAAAATTGACCAATGTGATATTGATCCGATCTGAAACCAACGAATTTGATATTAACCAACCGAAAAATTGACCAGTCTAATATTAACCTAACCCAAAACTCGACTGATCTGATATTGACCTAATCATAAAACAAGTGATTCGATAATCACCTTAATGTTGTACCTAGCCCAACGTAATACATAACTTGACCCAATATTCGACTCGTCTCGTTTTAACATAAAATCTAATGAAATCAACTCTAATCTGAACAAAACTAAATCAATGTAATATAAACTCAAAACGACTCAACCCAAACAACCCTCAAAGTGGCCCAACCCAAACAACCCGTTTACACATCTAGTCTAACGTTCCTACCAAATATACCAGAAAAATATAACATTCTAAATTATTATATTCCTACAAAATAAATCGAAATAATATAGTACAACATTCTTATTTCCTACGTTCTTACTAAATAAACTCATATAATATAACATTCTTAATACTATATTAGATTACAATCCAAAAATCAGAACCACTTGATCAAGGATACAAGCGCCACCATAAGGTCAAGGATACAGAGTATCATTGTCCCACCAATATTTAAGATTGGAATTGGGAGTTACTTAATAATATCATAAGATGAGCATCTCACTTTAATACGAATTCTTTATTTGGCATATGACTGGCACCCAAGGTTGGAATATAGACAACTGAAATGTAAAGAAGCATGCTCATGTGAAATCCAATACAATAATAAGGATTAGTGAACACCAGTCTGTTACAAAAGCAAACATTCTTAATAATATAATATTCAGCAAGTCAACAAGAAAATGACAGTTGAATCATGTACATAATGTAAACAATATTGCCTTGGTCCACTTTATCCATTCATATACAAATCTCAATTACGTGAGAGAGGAAGACTGAATAAACTCTCCTAAAATTGGAAGAATAAAACATTCTTATCTTTACGATGTTAGAGTTTTCTCTTGGTTTGGTTTTCCCGTGTCACTCCTTCACCATGTTACATAGTTCCAATATTGTGTCACATTTCCTTACATGGATGAAGTTCTTCAATAAATTATTTACTTCATCAAGCCCTACAACGTGTCTCGACATGAGACGGACACCTAGGTTGTGTAGAGAATGGTTGTTCTCTAAAGCAAACTACATCTTACTGCAACACCAATTCTTCACCCTGCAACACTTTTAGTTTTCTTTTAGCATAAACCGTAAAAACAATTGTTGTGACCACCGTTAAAAGGAAACCACCAACATTTAACAAAATCTGTGGAGCTGATAGGGTGTGTCGGTCTTGTGAAGCGTCTGCCAACGTCTGTATGAGGATACCTCTGTGATAATCAAATATGCAAATAAGTTCACAAGGTATACAAGTTATATGCATTTACTCTAAAGGTTTCGAATAACTAGCATCTAAGATGACAAGTTCAGGTTTAATTTTCTTAAACTTAAGACTTATGAACCTGTAACTCCCAAAAAATACAGCCCATGCACTTCGTGTGCATCATTTATTTATCCGACTGAATCAGGTAATGGTCTAATCTAAGCTTGTAGGGTATGTTTAAGAACCATAGTAATGCGCACACACCATATGCTGTAATGGTCAAATATCACATGCAAATAACACAGTTGCAAATACAAGCTCAAGATTAAATACCCAGAAAGGGGATGGAGAGGGAGAGAGAGAGACTTTACGTGTATATTGCGACAAAAATTTCTGGCACCATTCCTACCAAAGATCCCAAGATGTAAGGACCATACTTAACGTGTGTTGCCACCGCACAGTAGTTATATATTATATATGGGAATGGAGAGATCCTGATTAATGTTACAACTTTAAACTGATGGAACCAATTTCCTTCACCAGCTGCTCTCAGAATGGCAGCTTTCTTAGGATATTTTTCTAACCAGCCCTGCATAAAAATAGAGAAAGTTGAAAATTATTGCAAATCACAGCAATGGAAAAGATACAAAAACCAACCCTGGCAGAATCAGACAGGGAGTAAAATTTGAGTGAATAAAGGTTGAAAAATAATATCTTAGGATGAGGCACGCACTTGAATTCTGTGAAGGAAGAGAGAGCCAATAAAGAATGGAAGTGATACACCCACAGAAGCTGCAGATATGATTAGTAGAAATCCAAAACCATAACCAAAAGTCATCCCTGCCACCCAGATAGATGGTGTAGAAGGTAGGAGTATCGTGGGGAACAAAGCCACGGAAGCAAAGACTAGAACTGCCAGTACTGGAGTACTAAAGGTTGTCATCTCCCAATTTAAAATAGGCATTAGCTCCTGCAGTCATCGTGTAAACAAGAATGCAAAATAAGAGTGTGGAAAGATATTTACACGAGATAATGAACAATCCCTACTAGTCTACGGAAGGAAATGATGGTTTTTATCCTTAAGTTTGAAAGAAGATCACGGAAAGTAAATACAAACTACCACAAAAATCAACAATTCTGTGTGACCACTCCACGGACTGCATCTCAGAAACGAATTGAACCTAATTGGCCATTCAATATGTTTCTTAACTAGTTTAGACCAATGAAGTTTCAAGGTTGTGGTTGCACAACTTAGATGGGTATTCCAGAAAGTGAAAGTTAATTCTTATTCCAGTAAATATTACTAGAACAAATAAGCCAGTTTTGGGAAAAAGAATAAAACATATAAATTCTTCACGATGTATAAAACCATGATCTTTTTCGCATAAAGAATCAGTAGGGTATTTCAGAAGAAGAACAGCAATGGCAGTGGCTTTGGACTCGGAGGACTTTTTAAGAAATGAAAAGAGACTGTAATTTATCCCAATCATGCGGCCTCTGGGGGAAGTTTCAATATTGGTTTGGAATTGACTCACGTTTTGTATCTTCAATAAAATGAAACCTTTCTCATTCTTGAACACTAAGCTGTTATTTATAATTTCCTTCAATGTACACTACTTAAGCATTCATAAATTACTATAATTCATTTATTAGTTAGTGTTTTTGGTTATAGAAATTAAGTAGAATGATTGTGGCCGCTGGGAAATGGACCAGAATCCAAGCAGACAGACAGGATTAGGTGAAAAACTAAATAATGTTTCGCCCAGTTTCGGTGTAATTATTCTTATTATTAAGATATGATTATATTTGTGTATATAGGAAACTACAAACATCAATTTGTTAGGTTTTTGTTACATTCAACTGCATCTAGCTCGTAACTCATTTATGTCATATGGTTGAACAGCAGGTCATTGCCCATCCAAATATATAACATGAAATTCGAACACAATAAGACAAGCTTGCTGTTGGAAAAAATAAGAAAGAAAGAGATCCCCGCCTTTAGTCATCACCGAGGTGATGACATTTTCTAACTTAAAGATTAAAACATGGTCATCATGACATTCTGACTAAATAGTGTGCATAGCCAATAAGAACAGCAAGTGAACCAAGGAGACAGTTTCAGTTTATTTTAAGAACAAACCAGCAATGATCTCCAAAAATATAATGATAGAACACATTATCAGATAATATGCAGTAATCGCAGAATAGTCTGCAAACCAACAACTTTACAACAATTAATCCCATAACAGTACTCAAAATCAAAGAGAATTGCATTAGCAAATTGAGCAAGGTTGCAAAACCCAAGTTGAAAACAGGAAAGAAACCCAATCTTCAATCGACAGTTCAATAGACGCAATCACTGAAACCCACAAAATGTCCAAAAATTCAATCAAAAAAGCAATCCCTAACCCCTAAACTCAAAATTAAGAATCAAAATAGGTCAGAAGACACTCAAAACCAATAATGAGAAAACATAATTAGTTAAACAAGGGAATGTAAATTGCAAATATAAAAAAAGATCCAAAAAAAGCAAGAAATTCAGGGGAAAACCTTATCCATCAAAAAGGGACCAGCCCATTTGAAGAAAACAGCAGCCAATAACCCTATAAATGTAAATAAAATCCCCAATTTGATCCAAAACCAAATAGACCTTCTCTGTAAAGAACAAAAGGCGGGCTCCTGTACCGATAAATCTCTCTCATCTGCTTCACATTCTTCTAACAACCGTCGTCTCAAATTTTCTCCTTTTCCGTTAACACCATCGTCACCCTCAACTCTTAGTTTCAGCTCTGGCGCCACCTCTCCCCCCTCGCTATTAATACTTTCATCATAAAAAGTCATTGAATTTCAGAGCAAGAACACTAATTTCTTGTTTGTTTCCCGAGAAAATATGAGAAGGAAAATGTCGAAAGCAAAGAAGAGGATCAGCTAAGCTAAGCTAAGCAAGCAAACCTATTTATTTTCTTTTTCGTTTATCAAATTGGGAGTTTTAAGGATTGATTGTAATTTACGAACTGCCATTGGAGCAGAAACGGAGTCGCATAAGCGGTTTTAGAAGGACACGTTGCAAACACAAAATGACACCCGCCAAACTGAGTTTTCCACCGAGTTAAGATATGGGATTGTGAAGCGTCTCTACGATGGACACCAACTTCACATATTATTGCTAATATTATATTATTTAATTTATTTTGTAAGAATATAAATTACATAATTTAATTTAAAAATAAATTTTATTAAATTATTTTTCTGATATATTTATTTTATAATAAATTAATTTTTTAATATTAAAAAGACATTGGTGTGAAAACTTATAGAGAAAAATATATTTAATATGTTATTAATATAATTATTATATTAAAAATATTTGAAAATTTAATTTTTATCTATAAATATATTGTATTTATTTTTATCATAGTATATAGTAGGACTTTAAATTAATTTTTAGTGATTAAGTTATTCAAAAAATATTTTAAAATAAAAAAATCAACATGTTAAAGTTTTCCAATAAATATCAATAACAGTTTTATTTTTTAAGGTTTTAGATATAGTTTTAATATGTTTATTATTAAATTATTTTTTTAATTTGAATAACTTATGACAGTTTCGTTATCGTAAAGATTGCAAGTTAAACTCTCGTATAAAAAAAATAGCAAACTCGGATTAAGTTTATATAAGATTTATCAAATATTTTGAATAAAATTTTTATTATGTGTTAGATATTTCAATATTATGAATTTCTTTTGACTAACAGCACATCTAACATTATGTTGCCTTGTGCTACACATTGCTATGCTTCATGTTCTAACTTGATATGGAAATGATAGTTTAAGTTTTTTGGGAAAAAAGCTTGAATTCAAGTTTTGGTTCCTTTTTGTTATCATTGTCATTAAGTTTCTTTTTGTTAGTGCACAACTCCTTGAAAGATTATTGGTAGTGAGTTATATGTTTAATAGCATGAAGTGATGGAATATTTACCTCAACTTTACGAAAGGTCTAAAAAGTAAGTTATCATTGAACCAATCCAAAGCCTCTATAAATTAAATTCATGGATGGGTTTAAATCATGCAATTCAAAAATAATATTAAACATTTGATCAAACAATAAGTACGAAGAAATGAATCTAATCGCGGTTTCCTTTTTGTCCTAGCTTGTTAAATGTCCAATATCCTCTTAATTATTATATTTTAAATCTAAATTAAGCTTCTTCCGAAAGTAAAACCACACTCAGCCCAGCCTTCACATACAATCTTCCAAGAGAGAGCCCCCTAAAATGTCATTTCCTCTAACTTAAATAGTTATGTAAAGTTTCCAATGTCAAAATTTACAACCAATTTCGGATGCGGTCATGAGGGTAGAGTCAATTACAGTCGACGGTACCAGAAGGAGAGGACGACCAAGGCGGAAGTGGGAAGACTGCTTGAGATCTGATTTGAAGGATTTAACCCTTACCGAGGACATGATCTCTGATAGGAAAGTATGGAGACTGAAGACCAGGATAGCCGAGTAGTGCGGGTCACAACCATAGGGTATAACATCTCTGTCTTCTTTTTAATGTCTTAGTAGTAATTTTCAAGACTTCTACTTTATATATGTTTCTGTTATTGGAATTTATGAAGGCTTAGAACTAGGGTGTCAGAATAGTGTTGCCTTAGTTTAGATTTTAACCCATTTGACTTTATTCTTTCTCGTAGCTTGCTATAGTTGACTTCTGTGTATCATTCTCTTCAGGTTTTCTCTTTTTAAATTTAGCCGGGTCTTACGTTTTCTGTCTATATGCAGAGCATTATACGCAAGATTTTTTTTTTTTTGCAGGGATTACTTCCCATTACAAACGCGCATATGAATACTGCATATGAAGACTGTTCAATTAAGTATTTATTTATTTATACATGCATTGCATTTTATATTTATTTTTAATTTTCTGACTGTCGGAGGTCTTCCACGGAAGCTACTCTCAACCTGGCGTTGGGGGCAGCCTACTATCCTACCTCCCCCTTATCCCATTGCATATGAGAATAGGGTTTTGTTGTTGTTGTTTTGACTTAAAATTCTGTTTGAAACGTAAAAACATTCTCAAATAATTTATTTTCAGTCAAAAATTCACGTTTGAATAGTGATTATTAACTCAAACAAAGAACCTGAAAAACAAGACTTATGTGCTGGGAAAAACTCGTTTAGATAAACATTCTCAAACGAAGCCTTAATCATTTAATAACAGCTTTGGACCCGACTTCTCAATAGATACCGAGGCTGATGTAGAGATATTCTATCTTCCAGATTTGTGCTACCATGGTGCTATAGCAATCTTTTGTTTCTTCGTACTTTTCCTTAATTATTATCCTCTTGGATTTGTACTTCCCTGACCAATCAATGCAAAAGATCAACTTTCCACATAAATTAAGTTATCGGAGGAAAATTAAATAATTCTAGTTGAATGCACTACTAACAACTAACTAAAATACAAATATAATATGTTATAAATGAAACAAAATACTCTCAAGACTGCAATTTCCTAGCTTAAATTCATGATTGATAATTCTTTTTCGAGATTTATCCGTTACCCATAGAATCCACCAAGCACATTGTCAATTTTAGTTGTCTTTCGGCAGTGTTGAACTCATATCGATTAGGTGTACATTACTTGTGTAAATTTTGCAAGACTTCGTTTATTATGCCCTTTCTATTGATAATTGTTGAACAAGAGAGATAAAGTTAGAAATATGATTTTGAAGAGCTGAAATACCTATCTCATTAACTTATCTTGAGAATATATCTTAATACAAACCAAATTATTGAGAATTAGATAGAATGTAAAGTTATGACAGCAAGAGTAATTGAGAAATTCAACACAATAACAACACTGATATTTCATTCATATTTATATAGTAATATTCAAATTAATTGATAGAAAATATAGAAACTACGTGTAGGATTTTTAGGCAATAAAAATAGGAACAACTAACAAATACATTACTAAGAAACAATATGTGATATTAGGATGAAGATTAAGCACCAAGGTTGATCACATTTATGTTTTTACTCTCCCCCTCAAATGAAAGGATGCTCTAATCACAGAATTGTCACGCAAGAACTGAAATGGAAAACTTGTTAGAGCCTTTTTAAGACAGTCTGTTATCTGATCATGTGACGGAAAATATCAAATTTCTAGATCTTCCCTCAAAACCACATCCCTAACAAAGTGAACATCAATTTAACTATAGTTTGTTCAAGCATGGTGTACAGGATTAGAAGCGAGAGCAGCCACACTTAAGTTATCAACCCACACTATGGGTTTGGAAGGTAGAGAGAATGAAAACTCTTTGAGGAGGGAAGTAATCCACGACAACTCTACGGAAAGATTTGCTAAAGACCTGTACTCAGACTTCGTGCTTGACTAGGCTACAACATGTTGTTTCTTAGAAGACCAAGAAATTAAAGTGTCGCCAAAGTAAACACAATACCCTGCAACTAAACGACAATCATCTGGGCAACTCGCCCAATCAGTATATGAAAATCCACTTAAACAAAGACTGTCATTGTATTTGATGTGCAACCCAACTGAAATAGTTCCACTTAAGTAATTTTGCTTGCTTGACAATGAACAATAGTTGGTTGTTGAAGAAATTGACTCAACTTGTTGACAGCAAACGCTATAGTTGGTCGAGCGTGCATGAGATACTAAAGAGCTCCTATAATTTGTCAATAAGAAGTTGGATTCCTCATTACTTCTCCTTCTTCTTTAGATGATTTTTTCCAACAACAAGAGGCGTTGAACAAGCTTTAGCATTTTCCATCTCAGCTTTGTGTAACAAATTTTTAATATATTTGGATTGCATAAGAAATATGTCAATATAATCTTTGTGAACTTCAATGCCGAGAAAATGATGTAGAGATCCAATGTGTAACACCTTAAACCCGATTGAGCCTAAAGTACCACACTGGGCTATCGAGGCAACCCCTGATCCTTAAACCTGTTCATTTTCTTTCAAATATATTGAATGGTATCATATTTAAAACATAAATAATTGTTATAAAAACATTTTATAAAACTAGAGCTCCATTACGATGATTTAAATCAAAATAATACATCTTAAAGTTTACAACTCAAATACATAAGTAAGGTTCTGTGAATACACATGCCCACTAAAGCTACAATATAGTACTCTGTTTGAGATGCTGGAAGTCATACGGCGACGATGCTCCACGAACTGCTCAAGCTACGTACCTGCCAACGAAAAACATCTGAAGGCTGAGCTTAGAAAGTGTCGAAACGGTCCCCAAGCTTTTTGGGCTTTTTTGTGGAAACGATCCAACTTAATATTGGAAAAATGTTAGGTTTTAAATTAAATGTAAAAATAAATAAATTTGGAGTCGTCATCGACCTTTGGGTTAGGTAGGTCAAATACCTAAAAATAACTTTTAAAATAATTTCAAGAAAAATAATTTTAAAAGATAAAAAATTTGATTTGCGTTTAATCAGAAATTTATTTTGAAAAAGGGTTCGGGAGTCGGTTATGTGTGGGGAAGGATTAGCACCCCCACAACGCCCAAAATCAATACCTAAATGATTATATGTCATCTAAATATTTAAATTAGCAAACTTGAATAACATTTAAATTATTATCCTTTTTTAGAAAAAAATGTATTATTTTGTACGAATAATCCTCAAAAATACATTTCTAGTCAGTTAAGGGGTAATTTTTATGGATTCCTCGTACAAAATAGCATTACCCTAAATTTTAGATATAAAAATAAACCAATTCCTTTAAAACATAAAAATGTTATTTTATTCGAGCAATTCTTAAAACACACTCCTTGTCAGTTAAGGGGTGTTTCTTTAAATTACTCGTATAAAATAATATGTGAAAGTAATTCCATTAGCAAAAATTGAAAAACATGTA